GGTTTCTGTGTTTTGGAACCCACAGGAGAAAGGAAACAGCCCACTTCACATAGCAGCTAAAGCTGGTCAGATGCTCCAAGCAGAGCTGTTGGCGGTTTACGGAGCGGATCCAGGAGCTCTGGACTCCAGCGGAAAAACTCCCATCGATTATGCACGGTAAAAAAAAAAACGCTGCTGATTTTTGACTTATTCTTCTGCCAATTCCTCACTTACAGGCATTGGTCCAGCAAATTATAAACGTCACATGACCAAAGAGATGATGTCGTTATTTAGGGCGTCAAATGATTCATGATTAAAATCACAAATTGACGACACATTCATTCTGTCTAGTTATTATACTCAAATCTCAATGAGGAAATTTCATGGTCAGATTTTTAAAATATTTTTTGTATTATATATATATATTATTATTAATATTATTGTTATTGTTGATGATGTTATTATTGTTTTAAAATATTTTAAATACTATTTAAAACATTTAAATAGAGTGAAACTTTGACTTAGCTCACAGCTTTTAACCAAGTTATGGACCTCATACTGTATGTCAAACATAAGGCCATGGACTGAATGTGGCCCACCACATCTTTTTATATGGCCCACCAGAGTTTTGGTTGTCTTAGAACAAATATCTGTCTTATGGTAACTGACTATTTTTCTTTCTTTGAATTCCAATTCTAACCAAGCGTACGTTTACATTTGTTGACCAAAAACACAAATCTTCCATATTGTGTATTGATTTTTATTTTTGTTCCACATCATGGATTACGCATTTTACCACAAAGACTTTGCATAAACACATTTGTAAAAAAGTAAAATAGATTTTGGTAAATTAATAAAGCCATTTTCTTCTCATTGGTGCAGACAAGCTGGACACCATGAGCTGGCAGAGCGTCTGGTGGAGATCCAGTATGAACTCACCGACCGTTTAACATTTTATCTCTGTGGTAGGAGACCAGGTATGTGGAGAACAGTAGGTCTGTGTTCATTTTCCCCTGTTTTCTCCCTCGGTGACTTCCTGTCGTGTCGTTAATAGATCACAGAAATGGGCAGCACTTCATTATTCCACAGATGGCAGACAGGTAACTGTTAATAACAAACAACTTACGTATATCACCCCATCAGTACCAGGTCCATGTAACTGTTAGAAAAGAAAATCACTACAACTGCATGTTAGACTGCTGTGATGTAACCACAAACCTGTTTTCTCCTGTCATGCTCTCAATGGAGTAGAAATAAGTAAGTATGTGGATAATCAGAGTCACTGTGTGTCTGTTTGGTTTGGATCAATTTGAAATAATACACGATGTGTGTGTGTTTTTGACCAAAGCAGTCTGGATTTGTCTGAATTTGCCAAAGTGGCAAAGAAAAAGCTGCAGTCGGTGAGAGTTTTTCTTTTTTTTTTTTTTTCAAGCAATTATCCACCAGCAGATGGCGTACATATGTTTAACTTACATCGAAGACATTTTGCCCACTTTATTTCAGCTGAGTAATCATCAGTTTGAAGAACTGGCCATGGATGTTTATGATGAAGTCGACAGAAGGGAAACAGACGCAGGTAGAATAAAAAAAAAAAGAAAACTCAACATATAGAACTTTATAAATATATTCCAGGACCGTGTTCCGTGTTCTTATTTTGACTTTTGTGTTTTTCAGTGTGGCTGGCCACACAAAACCACAGCACCCTGGTCACGGACACCACCGTTGTACCTTTTCTGCCTGTGAATCCAGAGTACTCGTCTACCAGAAACCAGGCAAGGATTACACTAGTACACCAGTGTTACTCTGTGATCTGTAATCATCCAGAATATATTACATCTATATATTTGGGCTATTTTTTGTAATATATTTTTTTATTTCTCCCAGGGTCGTCAGAAATTGGCGAGGTTCAGCGCTCATGAATTTGCCACCTTGGTGATTGATATTCTGACTGATGCCAAACGTCGACAGTGGGGCAATTCCTGCGAAAGTCCTAAAGGTGGAATTTGTGAAGAACCAGAGATGGTTAGGGTGATAAAGTTCTTTGAGTGTTAAATCTTTGATTTCTTCTCACAGAGAACGTGGAACTGATCCTTCAGGGAATCGACAGCCGTCACAACAGCGACAGCCAGGACAACGATCAGCCTGATTACGACAGTGTTGCGTCAGATGAAGACCCGGTGCTGGAGGCAACATGTGGAGACAGCTGCAACGATGACAGGACCAAGGTTGGTTTTATTGTTTTATTGTTTTTCAGCCAATCAGGCGGCGACGACGACGTCGTCGTCTGGATCGTTAAATTCCTCACGTGTAACACAACTGTTTGTCCCGCAGAGTTCCGAGTCATCTGACCTCTCTGACGGACCAATCACAGTGCAGGAATTTATGGAAGTGAAGAGCGCCCTCACTGCCTCGGAAGCCAAAATACAGCAGCTTCTCAAAGTCAACTGTCACCTGAGTGAAGAGCTGCGGATGATGCAAAGCAAGGTTTGTTAACTGACATCGAGTCTATAATAGACTGTTATTAAATGTTATACTGAGAAGTCCAGACCTGTAACATCCACTCCTTAATATCCATATCATTTATTCAGTGATGTCTTCAGCTAACGGCAGATGTGTTGAAGCTCATGAGAACAAATAGATGTGTACATTACAGTCAGAGCAGATGTAACTATTTTTGGAAAAGATCACCTGACCTGACGGAGAACCTACGCAGACGTATGACAGTCAGAATTATTATTCATTTTTGTGTTAGTTGTGATTTCAGCCGACCCATATTAGCATAATTATGTCATATCTGTAAGAATCGTTATCGAATTTTCCTCTGATAATGAAAACCTGATACTAAATGCCTGGGTTTCGCCAAACAACATGTTCCCTAAAAATTGTTTTGGGGGAAAAATGGCTGTATATGAAAGTGAAAGTCACTAGATGGCAGCATTGTAGCTCATTTTATTCATCTATTTTAATAATCGGGGGATGATATGCAGAATGCTGGTGTCAGCAACTCAAACAGTGGTTTGTACAGATAAATAAATAAATATTACCAGGCCCTTAATGGTATTTCAATTCGGGGTGGGTGGGGGACTTCTGTCCCCTAGGGGGGGCATGGTATAAAATAATTGAGAAACACTGCTTTAATCCATCACCATAGTGAGCAGGCGGCACTTCACTTCCTTAACCACTAGGGCCACCACTGCCCCGCTGTATTGGTATCGGTTGATATCGGAATCAGAAATGAATCGTTTGGACGATCTCGGGATATCGGATTTCGGCAAAAAGTTAATATCGGACATCATTTGTCCTAATGGTTTTAAACCCATACATGTCTGAATCACAGACTCCAGTAAGTTCAGTAATTACAACACGCATGACTTGAGACGTATCATATCAGGAATTCAAAATCCCACAAGGGATTCTGCAAATCTTCTTACCAAAGAAAACTGACTGTTGTGTTGTTGTGGTTGAGATTCCTGTGGTGAAGAATGACCACAGGATTCTTGACAGGCTGCTCACCAAGAAGAATTTAAAGGCTTTGGTTCTTTGTGATCCACGATCGAGGACACGAAGCCTCATCATTTCTAAGACGTATATTTTATTTACAGCCACAAATCACTACATTTTCCACACATGACATAAATGGGAAATCTGTCACTTTTTCCCCAAATTGATTGTTTTTAGAGATGCAGAGCCACAAAAAAGAAAGAGTGGTCGGTGCTTTTAGCTTTTTTAGCTCAGACCTAATGGTCCTTCGGTTCTTTTCAGGTACTGAACTTTCCTATCTTTCCTTTATTAATGATTAATTGACCACCGGTGTGAACGTTGGTGTCAGTTGTTGTTTATCTTCATATGTGGCCCTCTAGTGGACTGGAGAAGTGTAATTAAAATAATTAAACTGCAGAGAGATCCTGGGATGTTAGAGGGGCCGTCGTTGTGAATGGAGTTAGGAATGGTAGGACATGTGACCCAACACACTTAACCCGGTTAACCTCATGTGACACTTAAAAAAACACTTATTTCCATGGAAATAAGTGGGGTTAATAATTAGTCCTAACAGCAGGAGTGCTCAAAATATTAATATTAACGCAATGCAACATCATTAACTTTTCCATGGAAATAAGTGTTTTAAAACCCAGAAGTTCTGTCTGGTCTCCTTAATCTCCTTATATGGACTGGAGGCGTGTGAACCCCTGTATGATGTTTTTTTATGACGTTATAACTACAGAGTTGAGGCGCGCACATCTGTCTCTCGTTAGGAAGCAGAAAAAAAAAAAAGGGATCACAATGAGGCTGCCTTTACAACCACTTGGCTGTGCTGTTGTTTGACAATTACAGACATAAAGACGCCCTTTGGTCTGTGTTAGGAAGTAGTTCATGTTGCACAGTATGTGTAATGAGCTCTTGAGTTCATCTTCAGGCAGAAACCACTTTCCTTTTTTAAATATAGATAGAACTTTGTTGATTCTTCGGGAAACTAACACCCCCCCCCCGTTACCCTCACATTTTTTCAAACATCTTATTATCCTTGAGGTTAATTTGAATCTCAAGGAAAAGGATTATAATTCAAAATATTACTCAACTTTTTGTGTCAGGTACTTCAGGTTTCTTTGTTGTTAACATAAAAAAGCCCTTCCAATATAACAGCCCCCCCCAACGCACCCCCCCCCATGTATCCAAAACACCTAATCCATGACTGTACGACAACAGGGAAATAGCCATAAAATCTCACTGATTGATCTAAAACTGGAAAGAAAGATATTGTTGCTACTTCAGTACCTTCGTTTCAGTACAGACTTGTGTCATTTTTGTTATCAATCATCAATCATACATACAAACTTACATCTTTTATCCTCCGAGTCAATGATTATCAATCATACTTACATCTTTTATCCTCCGAGTCAATTTGACCCCAGAAAAAAAAAAACAGACACAATTTCAAACATTTAAATTTTTTTTTTTAATTTACTCTTAAACTTTAAGGAGATGCTGAAAGAGATTAAAGTGCAAAAAAGTACGTTTAGTGTGATCATCGGCATATAGTATAATATTAAGGGAATGTCGGCGGATTCAAGTTTTGACTTCACTGTTGCGTCGTTGGTGTAAATACAGGCCGCCTGCATCGGCAACACTTTCTCAGCTGAGTCATGGTTCAAGTGTGTTGTCAACACACACACACACGCGCTGTCATGTATATTATCAGAAGAGCAACAATGAAAAACTGTGAGAAAACTTTGATGGGAAACCAAGGACAGTGAGGAGGTTGGAGATGAACTCTTCTCCCCTGGAGTCTCTGCTCCAATCCTCTCTATTATTGATGTCTGGCCTGGACTTTTGAAAGGAGATCACCCCCCCCGCCCCCCCCACACATACACACACACACACACACACACGCACACTTACAGCTGATGTTGCACTGACAGATATTTTGTTCTCTGCAGCTGAACTCCCTGCAGACTGAGAACACGAAGCTGCGTTGGCAGTCCCCCGGGGGGCAGCAACACCTGCAGGCGCCCTGCAGTCGACACCCGCCACGCGGAGGTCGAGCCATGTCCATGTACGAGACGGGTTCCGCACCGAGGCAGTACTCCCACCGCGGCGACACCGCCCGGCACGAGGACGGAGTCATTCTACAACCGTTCCCGACCAACGTAAGCAGCGGTGATCCCAGATTTGATGAATGCCTGGCTGTGGGACTGGTGTTGGTTTTTCATTCATTCATTCATTCATTCATATCATCAATCATTCATTGCATCTCAGTAGAGTACGCTCAACTTGGTTTGACCCCCCACTTTCTAGATTGGGAGGGGTCCTTTGGGGACGGCAGCTTCCTCCCTCCCTACCTTCCCCTCTTCCCTGTCCTGGTCGCGGGATGAGAGATCTCGAAGGGTTAAGTACCAAAGTTTGGAGGCAGCTCCGGCGGACGGTGAAAAACTGTCGTACTGCTTGCCTCCCCTCCCCCCCGCAGTCTTCTCTCTCCTGACCTGTGTTTTGAAACTGTTTTAATCTCCGTTCTGCATGCACCACTGTGCCTCTGCCACCGCGTTGACCCGCTTCAACAGCTTCAGCCTGGGTCGACTTCAAACAGAGCTGCTGTCTTTTCCGAGGAATGACCTCAACAAGTGTTCGTAAAAAAAAAAAAAAAACTCGTAATGTAAAGGCAATAAAAACAGCTCGTCACAGAGTGCTCGTTAGCCGTAACCAGTTATACAAGAACACAGCGTTTTACACCGGTACGTCTTTGCATTTACTAATTGCATCTGCTGCAGTGGCCACTGTCACATCACAACCGCCTGGTTTGTGAGTTTCCTCTTTTTTCCCTTCATCTGCTTTGAAAAAAATCAAACGTCTGACAGTGCGATTATGGCTTTTTATAATTTTTATTTATTTATTTATTTTTTACAAATGCATGTTTCTGACCTGTTCCGATGTGTCTACGTCTCTCTCTTCCTGTCTAAAAGAAATATTAGACGTTGTGTCTGACTGATTGTATTCCACCGGTGTTTCCGAGAAATATTAGACGTTGTGTCCGACTGATTGTATTCCACCGGTGTTTCCGCAGGGCTGCAGCTTGGAAGGTCGCAGCACGATGCTGCACAATGATTCTGACATCACAGCCAACCACTCAGAACTGGAGGAGACTGGGTAATGACCTTTGAACTTTGTACACTCTTGTTTAGAGAGACTCGTAACAGGCTGTAAAAATACATCAAGGCCACCTTGTTGATTGCTGCTCCATATTGTCACTGAAACAACCTACAAAAATTGTTAACAAATATTTTTATGACTCCCCAAATTATTAGGACCAATGTTGAGCCACATCCACAGATTCACAGCCATTAGTTCAAAACGGAGGTTTATTTAAAACACTGTAAATTTGATTAAGTTGCTAATGTCATTCAACATAGAAAGTATAATTAAGTGTAATTTCCCAATTGTCACACAATTAATGAAAATATTGTATCTGATTTTTAATTTTTTAATGCTCCACAACTACTACTTGAGCTCAACCTTTTACTGATTCACTATAAATATTGTTTCTTTGTTCATCAGTGCGTAGGGACAGGTAGGTCAATTAAATACTCTTCCACTAGATGACAGCAGAGGGCTATAAAAACGAATAATAAAAAAAAGAGTCAGAGCTGTTGAAAATCTTTGTGTCTTTCTTCAATTCCTGCGACTATATCAGCGTTGTCTTCAACTAAACAGGCTGTTTTTTTAAACTGGTTCATTCAGTCATTATGAACATAACAGACTTTATTTTATTTTTTTTTCTTTATTTGCAGAAGCCCTCTTTCGGCTTCTGATGCTGGTGAAGCAGAGGCTTTGGGGGAAAAAGATGCCTCTCTCCCCAGCACAGAAGATGTCATCTGTAAGACGGAGCAGATCACCAAGAACATACAGGAGCTTCTGAGAGCGGCTCAGGACACCAAACATGAACAGTACGTATGACTTTAAGAAAACTCAGCAGATCAGCATCTGTAAACTCTTATCTCCTGTTGAAGTCAGTGCTCTAACTCCGCTGGTCTTTATCATTTGGGCTAATGTTTAACCTGAGTTTTAAAGTAAATGCATGAAGTGTAGAAAACAAAGAAATAAAGTTTTCTACTGGAGCGGGGGCCGGTCTCCATGGTAAAAACTGACAGGACACAAACGGTGACCCCTGTGACCTGACAAACTGAGGGTTCCTGTATTGATCTGTGCGTCTGTGTATTCATGTAGTGAGATTTGACTCGGTCTCATTTGCTTTTGCTTCTTGGAAAACATTACACAACTTTTTCCACATCGCTCTTTTTCACGGTAACAAACAAAGAACTGCATTTTTTTAATCTCTCCATCGTCTTCGTTTGATGATGATTGGCTCCTGTCTGTGACTGACAGCCAGTCATATCATCCACTTTACATCAAAAAATCCAATAACTTTTTCCTTATTTTTGAATGGCTTGGCTTCAGTCAGTGGAATAAAATCACTTTCCACCGTATTTTCTTTTTTTCTGTTTTTTCTTCAAATTGAATGTTTAAATAAGAAACAGCTCTGGCAGATGGCCTGACCTGACCAAACTGACCTTTGGGACAGTCATAGGATTCATTTAATGAGTAAGCTGTTTTTGACAGTATGGCCATTTTTAAAAAATAAATAAACCTACATCCTAATACATTTCCCACGCCTGCATCTCTGGCCCAACAACACAGATGTGAAGTAAATCCGGTAGCTTGAGATATTCATCGTCTTGTTTCCTTTCTTGCAGCTTCCTGCCGTGTTCTGAAAAGATTTGTGTGGCTGTAACAGAGATGGCCGCTCTGTTTCCCAAGGTGAGTTGTTTCCCCCCACACCCCCCTTCCAAAACAAAGGGTGTGGTTGTTTGTTTTTTAAACAAGCCAAAGTGGTAAAGAATGTGAATCCAAACAACCACGCAGGTCCTCCGTCCGCAGTGAAAGTCTTGTTATCAACATTTTGCCCCTTGTCCCCAACCACAGAGGCCGTCCTCCGACACCGTGCGGTCGTCTCTGTGTCTGCTCACTTCGAGTGCCAGCCGGCTGCACGGAGAGTGCCAGAAGGCCGCGGACCACAGTCCCTGCCCGTCGGACATCCAGCTGGTCACCCAGCAGGTCATCCAGTGCGCCTATGACATTGCCAAAGCTGCCAAGCAACTAGTCACTGTGACAACCAAAGAAAATAACAACTAGCTAAACGTCCCAAAGAACTGCAACGGACAAAAAAGTTTAATCTTGATAATTACTAACTAAGAATTTAGCTTCGTCAGTTAAGGCCCACTTTCGTTGTTTTCCTCTAGTTTTTAGTGTGAACTTTGACATTCATTCCTTCAACCGTGAACAAACGAGTATTGATCATTCAAGAGCTTTATTTCCTTTTTATACAGAAAAGAAAAATCCCTATTTTTTACCTCATTTAAGGGATAATTGCATATACATATATGTGTGTATATATGTATGTATGTACATACATATATACAAATATATAAATGTATGTGTCTATACACATATATGTGTATATATATATGGCATTGGTTGTACTTTTTGGTTGTTAAGACCAAATATTTTGCCCGGATGTGTGGCAGCGACAACATAGCATAGCTCCAGTGTTCTCCACTGACATTGGTGTAACATATATTTTGACCATTTTATATTTGTTTTGTTTTTTTTTTTTTGTTGTTTTTTAACGTTGCATTGACAAAAAACTAAAGTCTTGAAACTCAACATCACTTCTGAACAAAAACAAACAATGAAGCGGATGACAAAGCAAAAAAAAAAAAAAACCATGGTACATCAAACGCCATGTGAGTATCAATAGTATGTGAACCTTTATTCCATCCAGTCCTTCTTCCTCTACCTGAGGGTGTATGTATATGCAATGTTTAGGTCATTTTTTTTGGAGTTGAAATGTTACAGTTATACATTGGTGTGTGTGTGCGTATGTGTGTGTGTGTCTGTGAGTTTATTAAGCAAAGATGGGCCGGTTGTGATTGACTTGTAATAGCGTTATGCAAATACCTATATATGATGTGCTGTATGTATCGATGTCATACAGAAAATAACCCAAATGCTATTCTATTTATAAAGTGTATGTCATACCTCTGGGGAAATATCAGCGTTTATTTTCATAGGGTACTGTTGTTGAACTTGATGCTCTTCACAGGCTAACGTTTGCTGTGATGTCTCACGTGGCTGTTGGTTAGCTCGAGGCAACTTGTGAAATCTGTTTTGTTTGGTGTGGTGCTCGGCAATTCTGCTGTGTCAGTAACAGCCCCAGGTCAATGCACCCTCCAAATTAAGGGACATCTTGGAGAACTTCTCTCTGACTCACTGTTGTAGACCAAGGGGTGGAAAGTATACAGTAATACTACATACAAGTGTACAACTGTCTGTGAATGTAATTTTGTTTTTTGTTTTTTCTGTAGCTGCAGCATCCTCAGTGTACGCAGTAAATATTCAGCCCTTGCCCAAAACCGCAATTCTTCCCTAATCTGTTGGAAAATACAATTTCAGGTTGAGCCACATTTCAACATGCAGCAGAAAGAAGGAAACACTCCTTTAACTTTATTGTGGGCGTTATGTGCATGGACGTTGCTAAAGCCAGTCTAAGCCAATGATATTTACCATTGGTTTTGGAATACAGCAGCTATGAACCAGAGTGTTGTTGATAGGCAATTCCTGATTTGTTCTCAACATCCCAACCTACTAATGACCAAATTTGTTCTCACTAAGTTGTGGTGTTTTCTGGCATGTTCCCTTTTAAAATAATGTTTTTAATCATACACTTTATATCAGGGGTCCCCAACCCCTGGTCCAGGGACCGGTGCTGGTACGTAGGTCATTTAGTACCGGGCCACAGTGGGACAGATTGAAAAAAAATCTTGAAGAATCCAAATAAATGGATATAGTCCTTCAGTTCAGAGATTTGTGATTTGACTAAATTGGGACTATATTACTACAAATCAACTGAATGACAGTTGTCCATTTTAGCAGTTTCTTTAAATGATAAATGAATAGATTTAATGTACAACCTTTAACCTTCACTCCATCTCCGTTTTATTGAGTAATAATTTTATTTATTTATCCTTATTTTTTTAAAAGGCTAATTTGAAAAATACTGGCGACCCTTGTTTGGGCCCCGCCCCTGTATTTGGATAAACGACAAAACACAGAGTAGTGTCTTTCCGCCCCTGGTTTCAGCCGTAAGTCATTGTAGCCTACAGTTGTACCACTATTATTCGTGTCTTGGGATAAATAAAGCTTCTAACTCGTACCTCAGTCGACTCTCCTGTCTGTTTGCAGTCTTTGTTAGCCGTAATTGCACCCTGGTGTATTATTTCCCACCTGTTGGAGGAAGGCGGCGGTCATAGGGGCTTGGTGACGCCTCCCAACCGTCTGACAGCGGCATAGTTCCGGGTTTGTTTCCAGCCGAGAGCTGCTCGATACTAACCACCGCCACCACAACTGCTACAACGGTTACTGCGGCCGCGTCTCCTGCCGCTGGCACCATGTCTATTTTACTGGAAGGTCGGTTCAAAGAACTTCCTCCCGACAAGTCCATCGACACCAAAGCGTTCTTGGATTCTGTTTCTCGCCTTCCTGCATTCTTTGGTGAGTAATTCTCTCCATCTGGAGTCTTAAGAGACCAGCGAGGAGACCCCAGCTTTAAGGAGACCTCGCTCCAACGGTGTACGGTTTCCGACTTTTGACAACTTTTTTCTGACGTCGACTCGTGTTTCGCTCGTTTCTTTCCGTGTGTCGGTTGTCTTTGTAGTCAGTGGTGTCAGTAAGAAAAGTGTGAAACTTATTTCAACAATTGTCTATTTTAGTCACTAACTCGTTGAGAAACTCGTCCCTCAGTCGTCAACACGTTTTATCATCTACATCAAGTGTTCGGCATTGTTACGTTTACTTGTGTCAGGGTTTTCTCCCCCCCCCAAAAAAAATAAGAATTTTGAGGAGGTAAAGAATTAGGTTTTTAAGAATCCCCCTAGAATTCTAAAAAAAGAGAGACTTTTTTAAGAAAGAAAAAACAAAAGAGAGAGACTTTTTTAAGAAAGAAAAAACTTTGAGACATACCCGTGTACACCAATTATAAACACACACATTTTATTCTAAATACCTTCATCACATTAAAACATTATTGCTGAATATCTAAGTATTTAGGCAACGGACGATTCCAAACAGAAAAAAAGGCTTTTATTGTGGAAAGTATTTACAGCTAAAAGTCAAACCGAAACTAATTGTAGATGTGAAGAAAACATTTGGTGTGAGGTTTTCACTCAAAAATAAATGTATAAAAATGATATCGCTTCAGCAGCTCAAACAAGAATTTGCTTTGGGTTCCTTTTTTCTTCTTCTTCTTTTTAGACCAAACTAATCATCTTCGCTGTGTAAATAAGAGCTAATATTTAAGATGTCAGACACAGAACTGACAAGTACTGATGACGTATTACAACCGAAACCTGTAGCGGTTGATTGGTTTTAGGCTTACAATTTTAACAGAAACGTCAGTTTACCTTCGTACACCTTGTTTGTCAGTTTCAGTAATTCAAACAAACGTACTCCACTACTTGTGACGCCTTCTCCTTTTAACGTGATTAAGGAGTATTCTGTTTCACGGACAGCTCCAAAAAGGTGTATTCGAACCGGTTTTGTTTGCGCAAGAACCGACAAGGTAACGTTTAAAAGTTAGTCAAACTTTCTTAAACATTAGCTATAACAAGCTACACCATTAAAATTGACACTTTAACTCCAGAAGCCGAAAAGAACAATTGAGTCGTGACCGTAGAAAATGACCATAAAATGTTAGCGCTTTTCAAATCAAGAATTTAGCCCATCTTGCTAACTTAGCCAATTCACGTAACTAATCTTGACGCTAACGTCACGAAACAACAATCGCTTAGATTCCAATTACGCAATTAGAGTTTTAAATCCAATGATTTAAAAAAAAACGTTGCTCTTAAATTAATGTTGTGAAATAATTAAAAGATTAAGAAAAATACAGCTAGGTATCTGTTTGCTACTCGTGTGCTAGTTCAGTAGGAAGGAATAACCGCGAAAATAAGACTGTCCAGATAAGGGGTGTTCACATTATTATTATTATTATCTTTCTATGTGATGAGAATATAAGTTGACTTGTATTACCATTTTTATACAATAACAGTTGAATGTCATCCAAACTATTATCTTTGTCTCCTAGGGGAGGAAGGGTGTCACTACCCCCTGTTATTCAAACCATGTCTATAGGTGTATAAAGACGGGGGTGTTTATTTCACAGCTGGGGTTGAGCCGGAACAGTGGGTTCGTGGTGTGGATGTGAACTCAGCTGAGGCGATGGAGTCTGTACACAGAGACTCTTTGTTGACCCGTTCAGCACAGCTCACAAACACATTGATCCCATTGTGACCAAAGTGAAACTGTGCATTCACAGCATTTGTCCCTTTTGGTTTGGTGAGAAGTCATCTATATTCATACTTTGTTCAACTTCCTGGGAAACTGCTAGCAGTCGCAGAGCAGCAGGATCGCAAAACAAAACAAAGCAAAGCAGGGCGTTCAAATCAATAACCCAGTGTTGAGAAAGAAATAACAACACAGAGAAGTGGATAAAAAAATATGTGCATTATTTAAGTAAAATCAATATTAAACAAATAATGTTGGCCATTTTAAGTGTGTTCTTCTTTTGTCTTCTAGCATTCATTGTGCTTTGTTCCTCAACAAAGATGTTATCCTCTATTCTCACATTTCACATTTTGCTTTCTAATGCAAGTAGTCGGGCATCTGCGAGGTGCTTATATTCACCAATAGGGGGCAGTAGTACAACTCATAGCTGCAGTTTGAGACCAATGACTAAGAAACAAGACAGACATTAATGTGGTTAGCTTAACTTAGCCTGGCCTTAAAAGACACAGATTACTCCACACAACAAAACTTGAAATTCAAGACTCTTACCACGTCTCCTTAAATAAAACACAGTGGTAATTATTTTTAATTTAGAAGATTTCAATCAGAGAAAAGCTGTAATTAATTGTTGCGTAACCTTCGTCCGTCAGTTTATTTTACTTTAAAAAAAAAAAAACACATTGGGATTCTCAATCACTCCTCACACCCTGCCTGAGCCAGGAACGTGTGATGTCATCATTCATATTTTATCACTCAGCTCTCAAGTTTCTTTCTCTTTCAGACTGCCTCGGATCATCTGTGTTCTCTGTCATCAAGTCTGACATCAACGGCAACATAACGGTACAAAATGACTCTGCTGTTTCTGACTACCTGCTTCAGAAGCTGAACAAATTCAAATTCAACATTTTACTATGTCACACATACTACAACTGATAAAAAGTTGAAAAAAAAAAACAAGGTTATATAAGTTTGTCTTTAACTGAATTGAGGTAGTTTTAGATTTTCTCTAATAAATATTGAGATTGATTTTGTAAATTTCAATCCCATTTAGTAAAAATTAAATGTAATAGAAGTATTGAAGCCGTCACATCAATTTCTAGGAACCAAAATGTATTTGCAGTTTGAATAAATATATATGTGTGTGTGTATTTATACTACTTTTCTAATCAGCTGACACAATTAACAAATGTATTGTGTACGTTTTTAATATTTTTAACCGTTCAGTCTTACTATAGCTATAGTCAAACAAATCCGTATATACTGTGCCTTTTCAGAAAATTAGAAATGTGTACGAAAAGGATCCCGCTAAGCACGTCACCCTACGACACATCCTGGAGGCCGAGAGGGAAGAACACAGAGGCGAGTGGCCCAAAGTCGGTGCGACATTAGCCCTAATGTGGCTCAAAAGGTGAGCGTTCTGAACACTTCAAGGCTCCCTGTTGAATTAATAAGAAAAACGTAATACCGTGTCTGTCCTGCAGGGGGCTCCGTTTTATACAGATCCTGTTACAGAGTTTAGCAGACGGCGAGAGAGACGAGAACAAACCCAACTACATACACACCAACATCAAAAAGGCCTATGAGCAGGCGCTGAAGAGGTACCACGGCTGGGTGGTTCAAAAGGTTTTCCAGGTAAGAAGCATTTCAGTCATAAAATATATAATATATATGACTAATATATGATAAATGACTCAAATCTGGTGTGTGTGTGTGTTGGGGGGGGGGAAGAAGTGTCACCACTTTGGGGTTACAGCGGTCATAGTAATAAACTGCATCAAAATAGATGTTTATATGAGTTTAAAGAAGGGGAAAAGACATAAACTATATATATATGTATATATATATATATATATATATATATATATATATATAAAAGTAATACACAAGCTTTAGTTTTACAAGAGATTCAACTTTTAGGAAGTTGCATTCTTTTCTTCGAGACTAGCACTAAGGAGTTTTTTTTTGCAATTTTTAAAAATTTTATAAATGAAAAATATAATTGTTATAAATATATGTATATTTGTGTATATATGTATATGTGTATATATGTATATGTATGCATGTATATATGTGTATATATACATATATACATATACATACATTTATAACAATTTATGATTTTTACATATTATATATTTATATATATGTATATACAGCTGTACTGTATAATCATCTTGTACTATATAAATTGTCAAAGAGTTGTAATATATCATGGTCTTGTGTATTTCTAAGTAATCTCGGGGGTATTTTACCGCTGTTTGTATGCATTTTTTGTTCTGTTTTTCAGGATGTAGTAATTGTCAGTCAGGGCTGCGTTTGTTTTTTTCTGCAGCAACGTCAGTGAAACTCAGTAAAACTGGAGAGTTAGTGACTGGAATGTGGTTCATTCAGTGTTGGTCGTTCAGTGAAGTTCTGTCTTTAATGATCAATAGAAAACTTAAGCCTGTAAGGGTTTTCGGGAGTGCTTGAAGTAACTAGCATGAGAGGTAAAACCACCGACCATATCAAGAAACTGTACTTTTTATTCACTCCGTTGCAGGCGGCTTTGCTCGCAGCTCCGTATAGATCAAACTTCCTCAAGGCTCTGTCAAACGGAGAGGAAACGACGGAGGACGACTGTCTGGAGAAAGTGCGTCAGTTCCTGGTCAATTACACGGCCACCGTAGACGCCATCTACGAGATGTACACACACCTGAACGCAGAGCTGGACTACACTGTTTAACCTCGGACTCTATGGAAGTAAAGTTTAAAAAAAAAAACCCTCTGGTGTCTCTCTGAAGCGTCAGACTGACCCAGTTTTTAAAGAATGTTTTTAAAAGAATTGTTTTAATTTATTTATAAATAACGCTACTGTAAGAAATGTTTTGTTTAAAGAGTGACTCTGACAGAATAATCATTTTCTTGTGTGTTGTTTCTCGTTCTTGTTACAATTGTACAATTGGGGCGGTTAAGGATGTGGACTTGTGTTCGGAAGGTCGCAGGTTTGAATCCACGATGGGTTTAACGCAGAGGGTTTCGTTGCTTCACGATGGAAATAATTCACTTTCACTAATCGTTGATGGATTCTCAGTGACTGAGGAGGAAAATACTTGACTGTAAACAGCATTCTGGGTAATAGTTACATGACTGTGTTTTGAATGTAGACGTATTAATACATTTCTGACACTTTTTAACGTAATCTGTCATTTCTGTTCAGTCGTTGAAGTACATTCTGGAAAAAACAACAATTGGTAAGAATCTGGCAATATGGTACGTATACGGGCGCAACAATACGATACATTGTGATGCACTGCGATCCTATAGGCACCGTGATATATTGAGGGTTATTTTTAAAGCAATTTAACTGTAGTAAAACTGTCAGGTTACTGAATATAGAACAGTGATACAGCGCTGTAGAATATTGATGATGGTACCGAGAAATGAAATTTTGTCTATTGATATTTTCTTACACCCCTCAATTCTTTACTTAGTTTTTCTCTCAAACTACAGACGGTGAGTTTGATGTGAAGAAGAACCTGAAGGAATGTATCTAACATAACTGAATTAGTCTGAAAATCTTTTTAATTACTGCAAATAATTTGTTTGTGTTTTATGTGATGGTCACAGACAGAACGATTTTACTCTTACTCTTCCACCAGGTGGCAGCAGAGGGCTATAAAACTAAAAGAGTTGTTGAAGCTCTTCAATTCCTGTGAGTATGTCAGGGTTGTGTTTAACTAAACGGGATACATCTTCACAGTACTTAAGTCGTTGTGAGTAGATTTATTATTATATTTAATTTCATATATTTTTGTTACTTTTTTGTTGGTAGGGGCACCGTGGAATATTTCTACTTTAAAATGTGTTGGGTAGGGGCACCTTGGAATATTTCTACTTTAAAATGTGTTGTGGTTCAAGAAAAGTTAGCGGGTCACAACCTGCTTTAAAAAAAACATCAGGTCCCGGGTCTGAAATCCGGTTCTTTACAATTTTCTTTTTTTTTTTGGAAAAATCAAATGTTGCAGTATCAAATTCAGTATTATTACTATTATTAGGTAGTTTCCACTAAACTTGTTTTAAAATTATCTTTTGGTATTTATAAAATAATATAGAACTCACATCAATACTTGAAAATATATAATGAAAAAAAAAAAATTAACATGTGATAGGTGTGTCTGAATGTTAGTTTAGAAAGGATCAAGTTTGTCTCAGAACTTTTTGAACGAGTCTTGTATAATTTTCTCTCATTTGGTCAAAGTTGTGGGTCGTGGATGGAACCCTGTTGTCTGACAGGTCACCAGTTTGTGTCCCGGCCTTTTCTCTGTTGAGTTTGTCTGTGTGTATTTTCACACTATTTTCACACTATCCTTGTCTTAATGAAAGGCTCTAATTTTTACCTCCAGACACGTGTAGTTTGTAAATTAGGATTATCTTAATGAACCACTATTTTCACACTATCCAGACACGTGTCGTTTGTAAATTAGGATTATCTTAATGAAAGGCTCTAATTTTTACCACAGATTCTTGATCCGCTCCTGTGACAGACCAGGTGGACCCTGTCCTCTGGGACCGGCTCCAATTCCCTTCCTGTCATAATGGGATAAACTGGTCGCTGATTAAATGAGTTGAAGAGCGCACTCCCACACGCAGTTCAGGATACGTACACCAGGTGGCAGCATTCCCTTTGTTTTGTTTTTTTTCTTTTGATTCAAACCCGACAGAGCGAGTTGATGCAGGAAACACTTGGAATTGTTTCTGATAAAATCACAGTTATCACATTAAGACACGAGTCCCGCCTCAATCATCTGATCGTTCCCGCTTTTATTTACGTCAGCACGAGCTGCCCTTCAAATCACGTGACACACGACACATTGATTTTTTTTTTTTTTTTTTTTTAAACCAAGAGCTTTGAAAGCCATAATCTTAATCTCGGAGCTAAATCTGAGGCTAATCCTGCTGCCCTTCTTCCCATTGTTATCTAGGCCTTCACATCAACAAACCGACCTCCTCCTCCTCCTCTTCCTCCTCTTCCTCTGCCCAGTCTTACTTATCTGGATCTGGAGTGTGTCCCCGAGGCTCCTCGGTGGCTCTGGTTCCACTCCCACAGGAGGCCAATCTGAGCTAATCGTCTGTGAGCGGGAGCAAGACAAGTATGTCTGTAATCCTGTCGGTTTATCAGAGGAGCAGTCTGGCCTGTCCGGGCTGATAAATAGGACGGACGAGCCGCGAGCCGCGGCCAGGACACAATAAAGACAGGAAGCCATTTACAACCCTGCCTCAATGACAAAGCTGCTGACCTTTTACTGTGAAATATTTATCTACGATACGTGTAGCCATCAATCGAATATTGCAGTTTTATTCACAACAGTGCGTCTAATGCCATTATTCATGCCGCGGGGGTAATTTTTTTTTTTGTAATAGGCTACTGAAAGTGGGAGTGCATTTTATGGCCGCGGTGATCTAAACTACATTACTGCTGTAGCATCCAATTTAGTGGGACAAATGAAGCAAAATAAGAGGTGCACGCAGGCGTACCGCGGCGAGATTAGCAATTCAGTAGAAGGGTAATAGCAGGCCCATTTTCTAAGTAATGTTTGTGTAGAATAAATAAATTAGCATCAGTATGTATGCCCTATATGCAAGCGTGATACCTCGAGGTCTACAGCTTTTTTTTTTTTTTTTTTTCCCTGTATGTTGAAGCAGGCTTCTGCCTGGAGCGCTGGCAAACCATCCAGACAAAGATGATTCACTGTAACAGAATTACCTCTTTTCAAATTGCATCATTGATATAAGGGGAAACAGTGCAATGTGTTTCAGCTACGGCTCAACTTACATCATATTGCATTATAAAGCTGAGATCCTTGGGTGAGGAAATTGATCTTAGTATAATACGATCTATAACTTTTTTTTATTTTTTTATTTTTTTTTAAATGACTCGTCTGCTGCTCACCTTAAACCCCCCCTCTCTGCAGCAGGTTTATAATTCATGAATGTAATAAAGGCCCGTTCAGCTTCACATAACTAATAATAATGACAAAAAAAAAAAACTTTGCTGGGTTTTAAAAAATGTAATTTATTCGACAATCCTTCTTAAGAAGACGCAGGAAAAAAAATGGCAAAATGTAATTTTTTTTTTCTTCTTTCAAACAACATACATCATGGAGAGCACTCGTGTGTTCATATATAATAATTGCACTTCATAATTATAGACAGTTTGCTATGTTACTCAACAGGCCGACATAAATAAATAGTTTTACAGAGTCAGTGCAGACACACAAAGATCTACTCCATCGTCCACCGCCCCACACCACAGAGAATAGCCCTAAAAGTAGACAGCGTACATGATTTCAATGGCACAGCACTGCCCCCAGTGGTCATGTCAGAGCGCCACCCCAGCCTCCAGTGGAGAAAAAAAAAATCTCTCCGTAAAAAATATTCCCACCACCTCCGTCCACATGATATAAACAAACTACAACCAAAAAGCACATATAGTTGGACTTGACTGCCACAGTGTGGATTTGGAAATTCAACAGTCCTTTTTTTATATATATATATATATATATGCTGAACGATCCATGACATAAAAAAAATTGAATATAATATCACTAAAGGTGCGCTCCAGGAAATGTGCGGAAACTGTTTCTCTCGCCGTCACCTGGAAAAACACGGACAGCTACGAATGTCTCGAACGTAGACCGTGTCAAGAAAACGGACATCGACCGGTCGCTGCTACTGCTTTTAGAACTAGCTTCACTTAAATCAATTGTCAGCGAGAGCGATTTCTTCATCATTTTATAAATGATTGTTGTCTTTAAATGTTGGTAAAATTCTGTTCAATATTCGTGGTGTCTGGTAAATCTAGATCCTATTTAGAGGAAATAAAGAGAAATGTATTTTTTTAGACGACTACATTTCTTCAGTGAGTTTAACTGATTCCTCCTGGGTCTGTAGTTGACTTATACTGCGTTCAATAATTATTAGTATGATGTAATTCTCTGTATCGGTGTATCCCAGGGGTCGATGACCAGTTTGGCTCATCCGTGACCTTTTACCCTCTACGTCGATGTCAGTTGAATGTCAAGACTGGTTTGTTTGCTCAGCTGGGATTGGTCGACCTCCAGCGCTGTGACAGGGAACGATACTGTTCTTTTCTGAACTCTTCTGAATTTTTTTTTTACCCTGATCTGGTTCATGTTGCAACGATGCCGTGCTTCAAATACTCAGTATAAGTAATCACTTTACCTAATACTTGGTATTGTGAATACTATTTGTATCCAGAGTATTAATGTGTCAACCCGTCATCATAAACAGTCTGGATTTTTTTCCAGTTTGGGAGAAGTGATTGTTGGTTTCCAGGAAGGCACCTCGATCTGAACCACACGCTGTTACGCATATTTCTGTGGAAATATTGTATAATATTTGCTTTAATTTTAGAGCTGGAAAACTGCAGGTCGCTGACCTCTGGTGGTTCCACTGAGGCCTGCTGACTGTCACATTTTTTTTAATCTCAGCTCCCTTTTGCAGAAACCCGATTCTTATAAACGGTCTATGATCGCAACACAATAATCAGAATGAAACAAACAAAAATCTAAGTTCACAGTAGAGCAACAGAAAGCCGTAATTTGAGAACCCATAAAAATGAGAACTGGTACTTCTCAGATGAGAAATCATCAGAAAACAAAAAAAAAAAAAAAAGAAAATAGTCACAAAAACAGTCAGCAGAGTCCCTTCCATCAGAGGACCAGTCGTTCCTGTTCAAACGTTACGGCGACTTCTGACCGAAGGTGAACGTGAAAATCAGCGGAGAGCGTGAATATCGATGGATAAAAACACGGAGACGCCGTGGGATTAACCTGTATAAGTTCAATTCTGATTATCATCTACTCCTCCTGCAGTTACAGCACATGCACATGAACATGAAAAGGCATGTCTCTGTGTGAACGGAGCCACGACCGCCGTCCACGCCGGCGCTCCCTGCACCGCGTCTTATCTGTAGACGGGAAGCTGCATGTGGGTTTTCTGGTGGTGCTCCAGCAGCTGAGGCATTCCCATGGCTTCGTACCCGCGGCCCAGCATGCGCTCTTTGATGCAGGGAGGGTGGATCTCACTGATGAGGCACTCCAGGGACTGCAGGCTGCTGCTCAGCACCGCAGTGTGGCACAGGCTGGAAGTGGGCAGCCCACAGCAGAGGTTTTGGTCTGCGCTGTAGGCCTGGATGTGAGGAGGGGCCGGGGGGTGGAGCTGGGGCTGAGGCTGCTGATGCTGATGGCGGTTTG